TTAGATTGAATTGTTTTAGTTTCTGTTTATGTTTTGCTTACAGAACACTTACACACTTACTGCCGCCCAAGTCGGAACTCCTGTTGAGTTGATTAGCTTCTCAGCAAGGCGATGCAGTTTTGCACCAGAAGACATGGACAGTTGTTGGACATCAAATCAGAAGTTACTTCGTCGATGCCATGGTGAACTGAACCACGGAAGTATCAATAAGGATCTCTTCGTTGAGTCGCGAAGAGTAATTCTCATCTAATAGTTGAAGTATTTGTGCTTGAAACGCAGCTTCAGAAAATAAGGTGACAAATTCTAGTCACTGCTCACAGAGTCGCTTCATTGGAACTGAAGTATCTTTGTCTGTTTGCTTCTTCGTCTAGTGAGACATTTCGACTGAAGATTCTGCGATGAAGCACTGTACACCTTTGCTGCAGGTAGGTTTGTCGTACCATTCCACCGGACAGATATCACCAGAATTTTTTAGGCTGAAAGCACGAATCATTTTCATGCACCACGCTTGTTCACAATCTGGTAACAGGCGATCCGATTCGGTGCACGAGTTTTCGACTGTCGCGCACACCTCAGATTCCAGTTTCTGGTCGTCCTTCGTTCAGAGTCACCTTCGGATCATTTGGCGTTTGGGCTGCTGCTTAATGCACTGCCTGATCTGAGACTGGTCGCCAGAAATATATACGAAGAGGCACGGGAACATGCGACTGGGATCTACATCGGCACATCCGTAAATCCCCGAGGCCGAGCAAAACATGCCAGTCTGTTTATGGCGAAAAGTGGCTGACTGGTTGCCAACAAATTGCCAGTTGCTTATATCTGGATATAGTAGCATGTGATCGAACGAGGATTAAAACTGCATAGCCAGTTATTGTTGGTTGTTAATCACGCACGTGCTGCACAGGCCTGCCGAAGGAAAAAAATCTGTTGACAATATTCGGTGCTTCTTTAGCGTGTTCTGGCGGGGCATATTTTATCATCTTTTTATCCATGATGGTTGGACGGCAGCGCTTTTCTGCTTTTTGGACGAATTCTGCGTTCCGCCTGTCT